TATCTATCTATCTATCTATCTATCTGTTAAGATGCATGTACATACACACTGTTAAAAATGGGGGCAAAACATGTCTCCTGAAGGATTTCTTCCATGTAGCCTATGTACCCCGTTTGGCTAATAACTGGACCACAGGGCACATGTTTGTGCTTTTATGGGCCCTAAAATGTGCATTTATGCTCCCAATTAGTAAGTGGAGCAGGGAAACCACCCCAGAGACAAGTCTTTGGACCCCTAAAGATGCAATTACGCGTTCTCTTTTCTGACTGTATAGACACGTGTGAGTGTATGTAGGACATTGTGGATCTGATGTCCTGGGGGGTGAAGGGTGAGCCTGGATGGTGGTCGGTGGGTGTGGAAAATTAATGGATGGTTGTTCCTGATATTTCCTCTCACTTCTCACAAAGATGAATTAATCTTTCCAAAAATGTCTCGTTTGTCTGGTCTGTAAAGATCCTCTTACGCAGCACAAATCCTCCTCCCCCTTTTTTTAATCCATCATCTGATTTTTTTCAAACCACTATCGAGTAACCAAACCGTTTCAGATCAGTTGTGAATGATCTACTGACAAAAATCATCCTGCTCCACCAAGCTAAATAATTTCTATTATATACAGAAGGACGTGTAAGAAGATCCAGTTGACATTTAATTCTGTCAAAGAGGTAGAATTAGAAACACAGAAGAAGAGAGGAGGAAAAACATCTGGCTCTACTCTGAAATAATGTTAACTTAAGGTGAAAGAAGGGAACACAATGTGTCGAGTTTATCCCTCAGAGCAAACCAGATCCATTTAGATGAAGTGAATAATTATTATCTTACATTTCAGGAAACCAGAGTAACCCGTGAGCTCAGTGTTTACATCATCAGGAGAGGCAGGTTCTAGTTCCAGTTCTTTCTTATGTTTCGTGAACCACTTATTATCAAACTCATCATTCATACAAATATAATTCACATACATTTAGTTGAACTAGCATTTCTCCCCCCCGAAAAAAACCCTCAAAAAACATATTTTTCTGATTGTCTGAGTGGATATCGATGCCTCATTATCAAACTCATCATGCATTTTAAAAAAAATGCACATAACCTAAGTGTTGACCCAGCATTGCTCCCCCCCAAAAAACCCTCAAAAAACATATTTTTCCTATAACATTTTCTGATTGTCGTTGTGGATATTGATGCCTTTAAAAAACATTTTTTACACATTTTCTGTTCAGTTCTAGCTCCAGTGGCTTCCAGGGGCTTATGTTTCCTGAACCACTCATTATCAAACTCATCATTCATTAAAAAAAAGGACATAACTTCCGCGTTGAACCATCGTTGAACCCCCCCAAAACAACCCTCAAAAAACATATTTTTCTGGTAACATTTTCTGATTGTCTGTGTGAATAATGATGCCTTTTGAAATTTTTTTTTACACATTTACACATTTGTTCATTTCCGTTCAGTTCTAGTTCCAGTGGCTTCCAGGGGCTTATGTCTCCTGAGCCACTAATTGTAAAACTCATCATTCATACAAAAAAAGCCCTTAACTTAACCCTATAATGCCAAATGTATCATATTTGATACATACGGTTTCTGAAATGTTTTGCCTCTGACACCTTTTGCATAATTTAATGGTAAAAACTTTGCTCAAAATCCTATTGTACACAATCAGATATACCTGATAACAGGGGGCAGAAGACTGCACAAAAAATTATCTTGACTTATCGCATAGTAATAAATTATTAATATAAAAAATGTATTTCTGTTTTTTCTTTTTTACATATTTTATTAAAAGGCCAAATAAGGAATTCAAACCAAAAAAAATGTAATTTTTTTGTTTTGTTTTATTCTTGGATCAGGCTTTAAACGGTTAAGCGTTGGACCAGCATTGCCCCCCCCCAAAAAAACAAACCTAATCTTAAAGTGACAGCTCAGAACGAGAAATCTAAGAATGATTTACAAATGACAAAGACACTGACTAGAAAACTCAGTCCAGAATTTTTTTTTTTTTTTTTAAGTGAATGTCTCCATTCAACCCTGGCTGTTGTTTCCAGAGGAAGTCTGTAATCTAAAACATATCTCAAAACATATTTTCCTAGCAATAAAAGCAGTGCTCATAGTCATATTCAGCTTCTACACCTGAGCCCCAGACGGTTTTCAAAGGACCCATCTCACCTCGGTTGAGTTTTCCCATCACGGTGAACTCGAAGTACTTGCTGTTGTCCCTGGGGTTGTGCAGCCCGAACACGGCGGTGCCGGTGCGGGGCTGCAGGGTGAAGGAGGCCAGGATGAAGGCCTCGCCGGCGCCCTGCTCCCGCAGGCCCCCCTGCAGCAGGTCGGGCAGGCAGTCGGGGGAGGTGAGCAGATCGTACACTGGAAAACACGACGATAAAACAATATCAATATCTCCAGTTTGACTCAGTAAACACGTCCTGAGTGGACCAGTAAATGAGGACAGGGTGGGCCATTTTTCACAAGGTGGTGTTTTTAAAAAAAAAAAAAATCTTTTTTTTTCTTTCTCCTTTTTTTCCTCTTTTTTTCTCTTTTTTTCTACTTTTTTTCTCCTTTTTTTCCTTTTTTTCCCTCTTTTTTCCTCCTTTTTTTCTCTTTTTTTCCCTTTTTTCATTTTTTTCCCTCCTTTTTTCCTTTTTTTTCCTTTTTTTCCCCTAAATAAATCAAATCTATTAAATGAAACGTTTTCTTTGTCATTCGCTCTACGCGTTGATATGAATTGATATCAATGTAATTTAGACTGTTAGCCCGGTTCTTTAATTGGAAACCTGAGAATAAGCCAGAGTAGATCAGAAGTATAAAAAATGACTTTTATCTTTAAAAGGACTGAACACTACTGAGTGCTTATTGGCCAGTTACTTACTAACCCTATAACCCTGACACGAACAGGCCAGGTCCTAATTCATGCAGGTAACCTTGGAATGTGGTAACAAAGTTTGTGTGTGTGTGTTGACCTAATGACGTGTGTCTAATGTGGTTACAGAGGATTTAACACAAAAGTATAGTTCTAAAAGGAATAAGACAATCAGTTTACATACATTATATGATAGCGTACTATGCTAAAGTGAGTAATTATAGCCAAATTCTAACAAGACACACAGCAGCTATTGACAGGAACACTTATGCTGGTGGTTAGTCTCCTTCGATACAGAGCTGGCCGGGCCACAGAAGGATGTGCGTGGAATCTCGAGTCCGCCATCTGCACACATCCTGAATACACAAGCACCATGAGAGCCGTCTGCACGGCCCACTGTTGTGAGGGAGCAAAATTGCTCCCAAATGCTCCCAGAAACCGGTCGTTATGAGCCAAGATCATCGCTGATGATCAAACCCCTCTTTTCTTTCTGTTCTTCCCTCTGCTCATGGCCACTCGTGTCCGTTTGTGTATGTGTGTGTGTGTGTGTGTGTGTGTGTGTGTGTGTGTGTAAAGAGAGATGGATAGAAATATGGATGAGTGGATGGATTGATGGATAGGTAGAAAGAAAAATATGAAGAAAGACGGATGAAGGGATGGATTGAACGATAGCCAGAAAGAAAGAAATCTAGTTAGATAGCTTGAAAGATATAAAGGAAGTTAGACAGGAAGCTACATAGATAGATGTAGAACTAGAAAGAAAGAAAAGAATGCTAGCTAGAAAGAAATAAAGCTAACTCGATAGAAAAAGCTAAATAAATAGCTAGAAAGAAATAAAGCTAACTAGAAATAATTCTACACAGATAGATAGATAGATAGATAGATAGATAGATAGATAGATAGATAGA